TTGCACACGACCTAGAACTGATTCAAATATTAGGATATGCAAAGTTGAGTCAAATGGCTGGAGGGGGTATATATCATTTGGTGCGACCAAAACGTGCCTCATCGAAATAACGGTTGTAGACCTTAGGTCTCTTTGGTCCAAATCTGCTTCACGACATTCGGAGTCGACCTGCCAATGTCCGTCCGTCCGACTGTCTGTCTGGTTGGCTGGTGTGCACGAAAACTCTCGACCCGATTTGGTCCATACTTAATACATCGTAATATTATTATCAAATTTAGATCGAGTTGGGAAATATTTGCCCACCTCCTCCACATAAGCTCGAAATTTTCAAAAAAAAATTTTAGTGCACAGAAAGAGAAGGAATAATCCGATTTTGCTCCAACTTTGCAACTCCTAATAATTGCATCAGTACTAGATCAGGGGCAAAAATGGGCAATATCGGTCCACTCGGGTCCATATAAATGTTCGATTTTCTAGTCATTTTGCCCAGACCAATATTTTTATCTGTATTAAATGAAGTATGGAAAAGGAATACTTCGGTCGACTATATCTGACACATTTGAACGGAAGAAATCAGCAGTAATGGTTCGAAAAGTAAAGAAGTGACTTGATCGAAACCCGCGTCGCAGTGGCCGAAAAAATGGCTCGTGAGCTGAACATACCGCAATATTGCATTCGGTAAAGTAATTGAAATTCCAAAAAGTGCAATAACTTGCCGAATATTGTCGCGAAAATATTCCGGAGGGTGTATTAAAGCCTTGGGCGCGCAAACATTTTGGCCGCAGACCTTGGAAATTCCAAAAGGACTCAGCACCATCGCACTCAGCACGCGCCAATGGTTGCAAAATGAGGTTCCTCGTTTCATTTCCAGCTCACAATGGGCACCAAAATTTCCGGATACCAATCCGTTGGACTATTGTTTCTGGAATATTTTGGAAAGCAAGGTTGGCATTAAAAAATACCAAAGTGTGGATCACCTCAAGCAAGCGCTCCGCCGGGAATGGGCAAAAATACCGCAGAGCAACATTCGGGCAGCGTGTGACGGTTTCATTGGCCGTTTGAAGGCCATAATTCGTGCCAAAGGCGACCAATTCGAACAAATCTAAACTTATTCTAAAATTTGTTGCTATTTCCGACATGTTTTGCTTTCATACAATAAAATTTTAAAAAAATGTTTGACTTTGTTGCCTTTTTTATCTCACCCCGTATTTCTATTTTATTTATTTATGTCAATATTGGCCCATTCCATCGGAACCTACTGCATAGAGAGTCAACAATTTGAACAATCATAACATAAGTCAAAACATAGTTAAGTAATCGAATATTGGCTGAGGTTATACATCTATTGGCAAAATCGATTGATGCTTTTTAACTTCTTAAATAAAATTTATAACACATGTTTTTCTGAAATTATCTGAAAATTTTGTTGTTTTCTAAATGCTCTAAATTTCTGTTATCAAATTACAAAGATTCTATATACAGTAAGAAGACTTCGACAAAGACATCAATATGTCATGGTTTGAGTTCTACTCAGAGTTTATAAAAATATAGAATTTGTTTCTACCACTATAAACCAATTTGAGATATTTAATTTCCAGAATATTTTTAAGGTTTCTTGTCAATGGTATAGCTTTTTGATTTTAAAATTGTCTGTTGTAAAAAAATCCACCCAAACTTTTGCAGAAATTTTTCTGTTGTTGCATATGTGGATAGTTTTCTAAATATCCTTCATAGTTAGTGTAGTATTTCTCATATATCTACTAGCATTCGAAATTTTGTCCAGATAAACTCAAAACGCATGTTGCATTAAAAAATAATCTGATATGAAATTAATTGCAATACTTAACAAATTATTGTCGATTTATGAATATATCTTATAACAAATACATATAATTTTTTTAACAATACATTGTTTTTTGTAACTAAATGCAAAGGCTTTCATAACAAAATATTTAGGTATTTATAAAAGCTTAGCTCAAAGAAAGTTATTTCTTAGTATTAAAAATTGGTCGGGTTAGTTTCATAGTTTGTAAGTTGCAGTATTTTTGTATTTAGTTATAGAAATCGGTGAGATATATTGGTAATGTATGAATATTTATATAAATATATATGGAATAAAGTTGTTATTTAATTTTATTTTATGGCATAAGATATGTTATATTTTAGTAAATGATAATCGATTACAGATTCTAAAGACGCTCTATGAAATGTTGACTTTTGTGGCAACACATAAAATGTGTAAGCCTATATAGTTATATAAGCTATAGGTTTTAAGTATCGGAAAAACGTAAAAACAAAATATGAGGGATGGTGAAAATATCATGTACAGATATACACACATATAGCTTTTTTACTCAAAGAGTGACATAACTTAAAAAATTGTGTCTAGTGTTAATTTTATTTTTCCTTTTTATATTATTATTTTTTTGTGAAATAACCTCCCTAATTTAGGGAGTCTAATTCCAATCGACAATTTCAAAATGAATTCTTCTCGAAACTGATTTAAGATGGAATGTATTTTGAGTAAATGAACATCTATATGGCCAAACAATTTGAAAAAATAAATTTGGCGAACCCTGTTAGTTTGCTTTTCATATTTTATCTGACCTTATAATTTGTCTGCATACTACAGCAATTGGTCTTTTGCCAAATTATGCCGTCGAAAAATGTACAACCATCTCCATTCGAACATAAACTCTCAGTGAGATCATTTTTTAGAATCTGTGTCGATTATCTCTTTTTTGGCAAGAATATTTAGATATATATTATTAAACATATTTGCGGATAGAAAAGCAAAGAGACTCTTCTTCATACTTCATTATTATTACGCAATGAGATAATAAAAGTTATAAATAAACATCCTAACTTTATTAACATGTTCACAAGGACTATATTTATTAAAAAAAAAAAAAATAATTAGTTTCACGAACTGTTGCTTCAAAACTGTATTATGCTGAAAGGCTTTAAAATAAATAGAGAAATATCGCATTGGATCCGTTTGAGGGAACTGGGGCCAAATTCTCGCATTCGAAGTAAAAGAAATTTCGATTGAAATGGATTTAAATATGTAAATTTCAGCTTGATTGTATTGAGATTTGCAGAGAAACATCCTAATATCTAGAGTTAAACGTCAGTTGCTTCAACCAATATTTCAATTTTCATCAATCTAAAATGTGCATACACAAAAATAGAACCAAATCTTTCGAATATCAAATGTAAACACTTGGCCAGAGCACTGACAATTAAATCATTAGCAGTTCCACCCGTAGCACATAGATGCGCGTGTAAAAGGGGTTTACTTTCGTAATCCATTGGAGTTAAAATATGGGAAGTATGTATATTTCATCTCGGAGGCAAATGGTCTTATCCGATATAGAAAAAATGTCAATTTTAATACGCCAATTTTATGTTGATTAAATTGAAAATTTCGGTAGAGATGGTCAAATACCGAATATAAGATATTGTAATTTCTACCCAAACTTTCATTTTATCAGTCTAAAACTAGTAAGGAAAAGACAAAAGTCGGGCGGGGCCGACTATATGATACCCTACACCACTATGCATATTTAGTAGAGCTCCTGTAACAAAAGATTTTTTTCATGTAGATCATAACACCTATCAATATTTGGCTTTAGAGCAGTTATAGTTTGCTATAGAGTGCATGATATCACCTGGAGAAGGATTATATTAAAACAAGTAAAAAAGCAGTAAGTTCGGCCGGGCCGAACTTTGAATACCCTCCACCATTTGGAACGAATTAAAAAATTTTCAAAAAAAAAATAAAATCCATTAAAAATTCTTTTAAAATCTTTAAAATACCTAATATAGAAAGGTGCCGATATGGGGGATATACGATATTGTGGACCTATAAAGACAAATCTATGTCTGCGTGTAAAGTACTCACAAGGAACTCCTTGTGTGGATTTTCAAAATACCGAATATCGCGGGGTACCGTTATATGGGAACTATACGTTATCGTTAACCTATATAGAGAATTCTCTGTCGGGGGGTAAAGTGCCCACAAAGAACTCCTTGTGTGGATTTTCAGACAATTCCGATGAAAAATGTGGGTAACATCATCAAAATACCGAATATCGGGGGTACAGTTATATGGGGGATATGCGATATCGTGGACCTATATAGACAATTCTTTTTGAGGGGAAAATGTCCACAAGGGACTCCTTTTGTGGAATTTCAGACAATTCCATTGAAAACTGTGGCTAAAATCATCAAAATACCGAATACCGTGGGGGTACCGTTATATGGGGGCTATACGATAATGTGGACCTATATAGATAATTCTCTGCCGAGGTATAAAGTACCCACAAGGAATTACTTGTTTGGGTTTTCAGACAATTCCATTGAAAAATGTGGCTAAAATCATCAAAATACCGAATATCGGGGGTACCGTTATATGGGGACTATACGATATCGTAGACCGATATAGCCCATCTTCGAACTTGACCTGCCTGCAGACAAAAGAGAGATTTGTGCAAAATGTTAGCTTCCTATCTTAATTCGTTTAGACTGTAGCGTGATTACAACAGACGGACGGACAGTGCTCGTCTTAGAATTTTACGCTGATCAAGAATATATATACTTTGTTGGGTCTAAAATGATTATTTCGATGAGTTACAAACGGAATGACGAACTTAATATACCCTTGTTCTCCAAATTTGATTTACAAAATACAGGTCATTTCTACCTATATTAGCCGTTTGGTGCACAATTAAACCGTTAAATTAATCTGTTAAAGATTATGGGAGTTATATCTAAGTCTGATCCGATTATCACCAATTTCAATAGGGTTCGTCCTTGGTCCAAACAAAAAAAAAATTTGCAAAATTTCATCTCAATCGTAGATTTTTTGGGGTCAGGAAAAGGTCTTGTGAATGAAATATAATCACTATATGAACATGTTCTAAAAATTAAATTTTTAATATAATGTAACAAGTATGGCATAATTATAAAAGGTAATATATTACATTAGACATGTGATTTCCAAAAATTAACCTTTGAAAAGATTCAGTTTTTAAAATTTAGACCTAAACGAATTGAAAGCATGATGTCTTGTCTTTGTCTTGCCCAAATGGTTACGGTAAATTGTTTATATTATTTTCAATTCCTTTTTGAAATGATAGATAAAAATAAAAGAGGTTCTTATTATCTAATGATACTACCTTCTATAATTATGCCACGATAACAACAAGGTTATAATTAGTATGAAAATGTAATGTCTTTAAGGATTACTTATATTTGATGTAAAAATATTACTTATCAGGAATAAATTTTGTTATTACGAAAGGGATGAAAAATCGATTAATATAATTGGTTTTTTAACGTTTCCTTGCTTTTTGTATTTGTTTTAAATAGTTCTTAATTGCATAGAAAAATAACAATATTTCTTATGTATGTATGTGTATAATATATGCAAATATATTTTTTTTTCTTCTTTTTTGTTATACATAATTTATGTTTGTCTTTCTGTCTGTATGTGTTTATATTCAATCAACTACTATCACAATATGAAATGTCTTATTTTGGTTAGATGCAATATTGGCGGAGGGGGTTTTCCTTACATAATTACGCATTTTTTACGTGCCACTGAGCTCTCTCCCTCGTTCATCGCCATTGTTTTTGAGCGCATTAAATTTAAATCCGTTCGAATGCTCGGCCTCCTGGCATTTGGGGTAACCACACCGCAGGCATCACTAAATCTGCGCTTTATGGAGAGAGCATTCTTTTTTGTGCCACCAACCGATGAATGGGGTGGCAATGGTGATGGTGCGCCGAAGACAGTAACCACACGTCGATGATGATTGGGCGCCATTTCCAGGGGTAAATTTGAAGCCGTAAAGAGTTCATAGAATAATTCATCAATGTGGTAATTTTGTTTGGCCGAACATTCTACAAAAACGCAGCAGTTGTCCTGCCCAGCTATATAGCCCATAACTTCATCTAGTTGAACCGTTCTGTAAAATTAAAATTGTAACATACTTTTTTATAGATTTTTAAAATATTGACATTACCTTTGGTCTTTGTCACATTTATTGCCTGCCAAGACCATGGGTATTTTTGGCAACGCTTTCTTTTTGAATCCGCTACCAGGATTAAGTGCTGCCCATTTAGTTTCCAATATGTTTTCCCTCAGCCTTACAACCTCCTCAAACGATTCTCTTGAATCCATGCTGAATACCAAAATAAAAATATCACCTGTAAGAAAAAAGCAAATGGATGGGATTTGAGTTAGAAATTAATCAAAATGACTTCAAGCAGTTCAGTCATAAGGGCCTTAAATGTCTTTAAAGTGCGAAATTAACATAATATTCAATTGATTTCGCAGACAGATAATACACAGAAATGTATTTTTGTATACCCTCTCTTCCATATTATTATGTTTGTCATTCCGTTTGTAATACCTCGAAATATAAATTTTAGACCCAAAAAAGTATATATACTTTTTAATATATGCTTATTATAAAATTCTATGTCGATATAGCGATATCCATCCATCCATCTGTGGAAATTCGTCTAGCTTCCGAACGAAATGAAGTAGATTGATAAAATGTTATTCAAATATGTGTTAGGACTGCAGGACTTTTGGCACTGGAAATAGGCTACATAGGTTAACTTTTTGGTATAGCCCCCATATAACTGTACTGCCTTTTTTTTTTTTGCTTTAGTCACAAATTAATTCCGAATCTTCATATAATCACATTTTGGGTCAATGTACGCATGTCAGTCTGTCTGTCCGTCAATCTTTCCATGTACTTTTGTGAACAAAATGCAGACCGCCTTTATAACACATCTGAGATGAGAATTTGAAAAAAAATATATATTTGTTTGTCCAAGGGAAAACCCTTTTGAAAATGGTAGGAATCAGTTCACATATAAATATAGCTCCCACATATATCTTTAAGCGGTTTCGGATTAATTGTGCACCAAATATATATATATATATATATATATATATATATATATATATATATATATATATATATATATATATATATATATATATATATATATATATATATATATATATATATATATATATATATATATATATATATATATATATGTTCCTCACTTTCGTAATATGGTAGGAATCAGTTCACATTTAAATATAGCTCCCACATATATCTTCAAGCGGTTTCGGATTAATTGTGCCCCAATATATATATATATATATATATATATATATGTTCCTCACTTTCGTAATATTCACTCTACAACAATGGTATTTGGTGCCAGATCACTTATGGAGCTCAAAAATTGCCTACGTTAAATGTTATCGAGATCGGATCAGATTTGGATTGCGCGCCAAGTGTCTAATATCAGTCCTAATGAACTGAGCTTTGGCAATTCCGACTGTACTCATGATAGAAACAGGTATTTCTAATTTGTTGAAAATCGGTAAAGATATAGCTATAGCTGTCATATATATGTTTTATCCGATTTTTTGTAATATATACTCAACAACAATGATCTTTACAGCTCAGAAATAGGTGTTTCAAATTTTTCTGAGATCGGTTCAGGAATGGATATACCTCCCATATATATGTATATCTATCTTTATCCGATTTCAGATTTTTTTCGTACCAAATGGTTAAAATCAGTCCAAATTCTCGACGGAATTCAGCCTAGGTGCAAGTACTTCAAATTTTGGTGAAAATCGGTAAAGATAAGATTTGGCGATAAGTCTTTCAAACGCGTGATATCGGACATCAGATACATCGGACATCGAGAATACCTTTGCCAAGTTTATTGAAATTGGTTCAGATTTTTTATAGTTTCGATATACATTTTCATCCAATTTTACGACTATTGTTCACCATATATGTAATATCAGCCCAAATCGGTTAATTTTTTTAATTTTCAACCGAATTTTTCCATTTGGTGAAAGTCGATCCGGTATATATTGCTCCAATAAATAGTTTTAATGTAATCCTATACAGTATTTTCCATTTCGTGAGGATCGGGCCACAATTGCGACCTGTAGCGTGATTCCAAGTAATATGGACATACGGACGGACGGACTTACATAGCTAGATCGACTCAGCTCGGTGATATGGGAAGATCCATATACAGTTTTCTATGTCGGAAACCATTATTTCAAGGGTTACATCAATTTTGGTTGAAGGTGGTCTCAAACAAAATTAAAATTTCGCATCCTACTGTGTAAGAAAATTCGAAGCCATTAAAAAAGTCTGGCGCTTATTTTTTTTTTTTTTTTTTTTTGGTGAAAATAACAATGCCAGAAAAAATTTCTGCATCCGAAATCATCCAATTAGGAATACTATCGGACGATATTTATGCAATGTTTTTAAAATAAATATCCCTCTGATCCTAAATGTGCAACAATGTCCTAATTTTCCTACTTTGTTACACTTTCAGGTTATAGATAAACACCAGAAACAACACAGCGAAACTAAAGAGAAAACGATATTAAAGTTCTTAAAAAGAGCTTTTTAGGATCCAAAAAATCTCCATGTGCTTACATTTACAGAACTTCAATTCTAATTAGTACTTACTTTCTTATTACAGAGCACAGCAGTAAAAGTTTATACATAGATATACATACATACAGATGTACATATATTGCTATGTATATCTCATAACATTAATTGTCGCACACCCTCTCGAATGTCACAATGTCTTATCTGCATTACTTTTCGGCACATGGTAAATGTTAATTGCCCAAATAACTTAATAAAATTGTAAATACTAGGAAAAAAGGGGCGTCTGTAGCATCTATTCCAGATGTGTATTTGTGTTCTTATGAAACGTTTACTTGAGTTTATAGTTTGTCATTTGTTTTGTCAATTATGACTCTGATAATGAAATGTACATCTAACAAAAATGTGTACAGAATGAATAATCTTTAATGTAGGAAATATATTTGTTGCATTTAATAGCCAAAACTATTCCGATATAAAAAAGTCATAACGAATGTAAACTATGAGGCAGACGCATAGTTACTTTTGAGGAGAGATTTTTAGATTCCATCCAAAATTTGTCGGCATCGGCCGACTTATATTTCTTAGTTCTTTGAGAACTCATAACATTCGATTGTGAAGTCGAAGGAACACACTTCATGCTGACGTTACTCATTATTTGGCAATGAGTAAAGTAAGCTCTTTTGTTTTGTACGTTTTAGAAATAACCTATTATTTTCAATCTACTGATCATGCAAGAAGTATATCCATCAAACAATCCTTGAATGGGTTATTCCCCCCAAATGTCTCCCATTAAAATTGATGATAATCGGAATCATATGCTCAGATTTATTTAGAAGTACATGTCAGGATTATGCGCAAGTACATGCGCAATATCTGCCCAAAAAGCATAATTCTAAGGAGATCCTACAATATCTCCCAAAATTCTAAAGGCGACTTATGAATACATATTTTATTTTATTTTTGTATAAGACAATCCAGAAATTTACACCATAGAATTTAGTCTTTTTATACTTTCCACTAATGCCTCGAAACAAAAAATGCACATACAGGTCCAGGTCTTCGTACAGCCCTCACATAATGGTACTTCCATATGTTAGGTATTTTGATGATTTTAACGACATTGTCTGGAGTTATTTCAGATTTCGAATTGTAAGTTCGTAGAGGGTATATTAGATCATATGTCACATGGCCTATGTAGCGATATCTCCCAATATTCGGAATGTTGATGTTTTTGAGACATATTCGCAGTGATTGTTTTAAGTTTCATATTTACACCCTACAACACTATGTGTTGGGGTATCATAAGTTTGATTGGGCCAAAAATTATGTAACACCTCGAAATATTGGTTTCCCACACAGGAAAGTATATATGGATCTTCCTATCTCGCCGAGCTGAGTCAATCTAGCTATGTATGTCCGTCCGTCCATGTTAATTTGTAATCACTTTACAGGTCGCAATTATGGCCCGTTCTTCACGAAATTTAGAATGGAGGTGGGGCTAGAGCCAGAATTGAACCCCTTTGCTTAATGATCTCATAATATTTAGGGGTTGAAATGGACCAAAAAGTGAAAAATTGCCTGATTTTACAATTGCTCTGCAGGTCGCAATTATGGACCAATCGAAGTTAGTATGGGGCTTGAGCTAAGGACTGGGCAGAAGCCTTCCAATTTTGATGGTCATCGGTTAATATTTAGTGGGTGAAATAGACCATAACATTTCTGTTAAATAAAAGTCAAATGTTCCATTAAACTGCGAATATTTTTAATCCCGCCGAAATCACAAATAGACGAACAGATCCATTGTGACCGTTACGTAGATGCCGATAGTAAATATATCAGATATGCATAGCCAAATTTATACAATGTATACATACAAAGGAATGGGATGTTAGCTAGAATGCTTATATCTTAAGAATGGCTGGACTGATTTTGACAAATTTTATCAATTCAGAATCCCCTCTTTGCATAAAAGAATAAAATCGTAAAAAAAACGCATAAAAATATGCATATAATGATGTGAATATAGATTTTGTAGTATTTTGTGACATTTTTTTATATTTTTTATCGCATGTGATTTTTTCAATTTGACTTGTAATATTGAAGTGTATATTTTGTAATATTTTTTCACCTTACAACACAGTTTGGGGTAATTATATACAGATTGCAATTATCGTCCTACCCTCACAAGGGTAGGGTTAGGCTCAGAAAGGCCAGGCCCATTGTTTTTAAAGATTTCGCCAATATATTAGGGGTTGAAATGGACCAACAACTAAAAATGTTCCTGATTTTGCATCCATTATAAAGGTCACAAATAGAAACCAAAGGACACGAAATCTCCCATAAAGTTAGAGTTTAGGACAGCGGGTAGAATGGACCACTAATTGTGTGTGAAAAAATACCAGCATTACTTACAGGCGATATCCGAAATACACAAAGGGCGAACTTCTGGCTTTTTTATGCTGATTTCGTTGACTAATATGGACAAATATCGTAGACAAGCAAATCATATAGATGAGTCTAAATCGCAAAATATTTATAAAAACACAAAATGTTTCCTGATTTAGGACAAGAAGAATTCTAGAATTTTGGATAACCATTGGATTACATTTAGCTGTAAAATAGACTTACAACTTACAGCATGACGGAGTGCGTAAATATTGGGCAAATGTCCCTGGTCAAAATGCTAATAGTAATATCTGGGTAGTGCTCCGTGACATAATTTCAAATGCGATATATTCCAAAATGGATTTGGACATAAGGGGGTTTCTAACATACTATATTGTTGTATCACATGGTCGGCCCCGCACGACTATAGTCTTGTTATATATATTTAAAGTCGTATATAATATGTGATCATCATCTACGTTTAGCATAATTAGACACTGAGGCTGATATACCCGATACGTTTATTTTGTTACAATTATCGGCAGATCTATGAACATTATTTCGATGTGTTACAAACTACTAAGCATAAACGTAATTATAATGTCCTTCTTCACTACAACCATGTGTTGTGCTAACAGTTGTTTCACAATTGAATTCGGAGGTAAATTTCATATGCTTACAAAATTGGCTTCTCGGCTATAAAAACTTTTTATACCCTCAGCCATATGGTTACAGAGGGTATGTATATTTGATACGATCAAAACGTGCCTAGTCGAAATAACGGTTTTAGACCCTAGGTCTCTTTGGACCAAATCCGTTTCAGAACATTTGGAGTCGATCTAGCGATGTTCGTCCGTCCGTCTGTCTGGCTGGTTACTCTCGAAGGGAGTATCCGATTTGGTCCAAACTTGGTATATCGTAATATTTTTGTCAAACTTAGATCGAGTTCGGAGATGGGCAATTTCGGTCCACTCCTTCCGGTACCTCCCCCACAAAAGATCGAAATTTTCAAAAAATATATTTTTTGCACAGAGAGGAAAAAGGATAATCCGATTTCGCTCGTGAAAATGGACAATATCAGTGCACTCCTTCTGGTACCTCCCCCACAAATGGTCAACATTTTAAATAATTATAACTCTCATAAAATGTGATGTAAGAGTCCGATTGTCTTAAAATTTCACACATCCCAATAATTATATTAATCCAAGGTCTGGTGTTAAGATGGTCCACTAATTCTGGTACCTCCCCCACAAATAGTTGAAATTTTTAAAAATATATGTTTTTTTGCACAGAAAGAGAAACGATAATCTGATTTTGCTCCAACTTTGCAAATGCTAATATTTGCGTCAGTGCTAGGTCTGGTGCGAAAACGGACAATATCGGTCCACTCCTTTTGGTACCTCCCCCACAAATGGTCAAAATTTTAAATAATTACAATTCTCATGAAACGGATATAAGAGTCCGATTGTCTTCAAAATTCACACATCCCAATATTTATATTAACCCAAGGTCTGGTGTTAAGATGAAGTATATTGGTCTACTCCTTCAGGTACCTCCTCCACAGAGGCTCAAAATTTTAAATATCTATGAAGCTAATAAAAAGCGAAATCAACATCAACATGGTACATCAGCACAATATTTCCATCAGCACAAAATCTGTTATAAAGATGGTAGAGATCGACCAGTTCTGTTGCTACCTGCTCTGCATAGGTATCAAGATTTTGAAAAACAAAACGCTCAAAGAAAGCGAAATAAGCATCCATTTCTCTTTAAATTTCACACATACAGACATTTTTGCTTACACAAGATCTGTTGTGAAGATACTATATATCTGCAACCCCCTTCTGGTACCTCACCACAAAGAGACACAATTGCCAATACTTTTATCTGGCATTAATTGCGAAACAACTCAGCGATTCTTTACAACTTGTTATATGTCTCTCAACCAGAATCCTGTGATGAATATGAAATTTATTATTTCCCATAAATTGGATATAAATGTTCAATTTTCTTATATATTTATAATGTTATTTATATCATATTTATTTAGGTCCGATACGAAATGGACAATATTGATCCATTCTTTCAAACCCCACACCATAGAGGTTCAAGAGTTTGAAAATTCATAATAGAAGTCAAAATATTTTTAAATAAAAGGACATTGGCTGAGGGTATACATCTGTCGGCAAAACCGACCGATACTTTTTAACTTGTTATTTAGTAAACATTGGCAAATGTCTTTGGATGGTTGTCCATTTCGATTTGATTTTGGTTGGCGTTCGTTTATTTCCGTTTGAAGATGGTAATCTCCTTTTGAGTTCTGGTGGCTTTGTCGGGTGATTGAGGTTTTGTCTAGAATTTGCATTTCCTACTATAAATGGAATAAAAGTATGTCAGTCAATTGTTCGTTTTGCATATGTCAACTTATGCTGCAGATAATATAAAAAAATAGTCTCAGAAGACTTTTTGTTCTCTTCCTAATGAAATTGATAAAATTATCGAAGGAGTGGTCCAATATTGGGATTTGCAAAGTTTGCACAAAATCGAATGATCCTTTTTCTTTTTAGGGCGTAAATTATTTTTTCTGAAATTTTGAACTTTTTTGGGGAGGTTCCAGAAGGAGTGGATCGATGTTGCCCATATCAATATTATTATATACCATGTATGGAACAAGTCGGATACTCCCTTCTTGAGTTATCGTGCGCACCAGCAAGACAGGCGGACGGGCGGACACCTCTAGGTCGACTCCAAGTGTCCTGAAAAGAATTTGGTACAAAAAGACGTTTTGGCCGCATCAAATGATATGTACCCTCTGTAGTCATATGGATGAGGGTTCCTGCCCAGACGGGAACTTAACAGATTTTTAACTGTACTTCTTTCATTTTATATTGAAAGTTTCTAACATTCCATTTCAATCCCTAAATATTGTGCGATCATCGTCAAAAACAATAGGGTTCCATTCTGACCCTAACCCACGTCCATTTTCAAATTCGTGAGGATCGGTCGACCTATATCGTGATAGGAAGATCCATAAATTACTGTTTCGCGGTGTTACATAATTTTTGGCCCAATCAAACTTCTAATACCCAAATATATAGTGTTGTAGGGTAAAAAAAGAACGAAACTTGAATGAATTCCAGTGAATAGCATCGCTAAAATTCTCAAAATACCGGATTAGGCACGTACCATTTAATATTGGGGCTTTACGAAAACCTAGACATGCCTAGGCAATTTTCTGTCACGAATGGGAGTACCCATTAAAGACTTTCAAATTCCTAAATTCCGGTGAATGACACAAATCATCAAAAATGTCTGGAGGAATGTATGGGGACTATAACACACCTTAGACTTATATTGCCATATATGGGGGCTATACCAAAACGTGGACCTGTATTGCCCATCTGAATAAAATTTTATTAATCTACGGCCATCGCTAAATCGACATAGAGTTTTATGCCGATGAGGCACATATATATGTAACTTGTTGGGGTCTAAAATGTATATTTCTAGTGGTTACAAATGAAATGGGGGAATACTACGGTCGATAGTCCCATATGCAACACCTCACTTCGGATTCCTTAAAATTATAGTGATTTTTCAACTGAATTTTTGTTTTCGTTTTAAGCGTTCCGTCCAAATGGTGGAGGGTTGTGCTTTTTTACTTGTTTACTTTAAATTTTTAATCTATGGCAACACAGAATAGAGGGAACTAAAGTTGTAACACTTCATATTAACATATGGCCAGGAAAAATATTGAAAGGCATGCTTTTGCAATTCAGAGATAAATATATAAAATTATTTTTCTTCATTCAATAAATAATAAAAATATGTGTTTCGCCTCAAAGGCTTCGACAGCATGTGCTTTTTGCTCTCATAAAACCCCAACATTCTCCTTTTTTTTTTTTTTTTTTTTCAATTATAGCTTCAGGCATTTTGCTTGTGTCAACCACCCACTTAAATTCTTAGGACTTTGATTCAAAGCGAATAGAAGACCGCAAGGAAAACAACTACACGTAAAAATATGTCATAAATATAAGATTATTGTGTGTCATATGGGTTTGGCTCGTTTATTTGCTGTTGATATCGAATTCATGTGATTTCATACTGGCAAATTGCATGTATTAATCATGTCCAAGAATTTATCTCATACCATACACACACACAGTCTCACGCACAAATACAGCAGTCAGGAATTTAATATGACTTTTAGTGCACACGCATATTACGACTAATAGATATTTGTACACCACACAATTTACTTACCCGTTAGAAATGACAGTCGACGCATAGCCGGAAATGGATGGTGGCCAGATGTGTCCAGAATATCTAATTGATAGACTTCATTACGGATGCGGTACAATTTGCGATGAAAATCCTCAATAGTCGGTGTATAGGCTTCTTCAAAACGATTACCAAGAAAGCGAGCAACTATAGACGATTTTCCCGCCCGTGAAGATCTGTAAACAGGAATAGATTATTAGGGTTATTAAATATGCAGTATTTTTCGACTAGATACTGACTATTCGTTAAATCTTATCGATTGCCTGTATCATCCATCTTTCCGAAGTATGATAAAATATATTTTGCAAATTCTTTTTTGTGGAATATGTTTTATGGCAGATAATTTTATGGCAGATTTTGCAATACGTAAACATATCTATATCTAAAATAATAAATAATAATAATATCTATATCTAAAATAATAAATAAATAAAAAAAGAAAAATGTTTGTATGTTTATTTGTTTGTAATTTATGGACTCGAATACCGCTGATGGATTTTATATAAAACAAGTAAGCAAAGGCTATAGTCGTGCGGGGCCGACCATGTGATACCCTACAACACTACAATATATTAGAAGACCCTTTATGTCCAAATCCATTTTGGAAGATTTCGCTTTTGAAATTATGTCAGGGAGCACTGCATTTTGACCAGTGACCACATAAATATAATCCAATGGTCATCCAAAATGCTAGAATTCTTCCCTGCCCTTAACTCTCTTCTCAGGCGTGTCGATTGGCTTCAATTGTGTGATCAGGATTTTTTTCTGTTTTTGGTCCATTTGAACCCCTAAATATTTTGCAATCATCTCCAAAAGCAAGAGGCCCCCTGTATCTCCAAATTTTGACACATCTATATGATTTGCTTGCCTACGATATTTGTTATATGCGTCAAAGAAAACAGCGTAAAAGCCAGAAGTTCGCCTTTTTGTGCATTTTGGATATCGCGTGTAAGTTATTTTTAGCGTTTTGGTAGAATGGAAATGTTGGTTTTTTCACTCAAAAGTAGTGGTCCATTCAACCCGCTGTCCTTAACTCTAACTTTATGCGAGATTTTGTGTCCTTTGGTTTCTATTTGTGACCTTTATAACGGCTGCAAAATCAGGAACATTTTTGTTGGTCAATTTCAACCCCTGAATATATTGCATACATCTTTGAAAACAATAGGCTTAGCCCAACCCTACGCTTGTGAAAATTTTCGTGAGGATCGGACGATAATTACAATCTGTATATAATAACCCCAATCTGTGTTGTAAGGTGAAAAAATATTACAAAATGTATACTTCAATATTGCTAGTCAAATTGAAAAAAATCGCATGCGATGAAAAATGTGAAAAAATAAAAATATGTCACAAAATACTACAAAATCTATATTAATATCATTATTGACATCTTTTTATGCGATTTTTATAGATTTTATTCTTTTATGCCAAGAGGGCATTCTGAATTGACAAAATTTGTCAAAATCGGTCCAGCCATTCTTGAGATATAAGCATTCTAGCTAACATTCCTTTCCTTTGTACACACACAATTTATATATTACGCTATATATATCCGATATATTTACTATCGACATTTATGTAACGATAAAAATTGACCTTTTCGCCTATTTGTGATTTCGCCGGGATTAGAAATATTCGCGGTTTAATGGAAAATTTGACTTTTATTTAACAAAAATGTTGTGGCCTATTTCACCCACTAAATATTACCCGATGACCATCAAAATTGGTAGGCTTCTGCCAAGCCCTATGCTCTAGCCCCATGCTAACTTCCGCTTCGATTGGATTATAATTGTGACCTGTAGAGCAACTGCAAAATCAGGAATTTTTTTTTTTGTTTTTGTTCCATTTCAACCCCTAAATATTATGCGATCATCTCCAAAAGAAATAGGGTTCTATTCTGACCCTAGCCCCACCTCCATTCTAAATTTCGTGAAGATCGGGCCATAATTGCGACCTGTAGAGTGATTACAAATTAACATGGACAGACGGACGGACGGGAAACCAATATTTCGTGGTGTTACATAATTTTTGGCCCAATCAAACTTATAATACCCCAACACATAGTGTTGTAGGGTATACAAATATTTGCAAACATATATTGAAATCGGTTGAGATTTGTATATAGCTCCATATAAATTTTCGGCCGATTTCATGTATTTGGTGCACCAAACACGATATTTGTCTCCAGTTTTAATGAAATTTTTAATGAATAAGGGAATCGGGAACAAAAATGAATTTGTCAAATTATATTGAAATCGGTTCAGATTTGAATATAGCTCCCATATATGTTTACAGCCGATTTCAAGCATTTGATGCACCAAACACGCTATGTATTCCCAATTTCAATTAAATTTGAAACGCGTGATGGATTTTATCTAAAAAAATATTTGCCAAATTATATTGAAATCGGTTGAGATTTGTATATAGCTCCCATATATATTTTCATCCGATTTTACATATTTGATGCACCAAACACGATACGTTGCCCGATTCCAATGGAATTCGGCTTGAGTGACTAAATTTGGTACAAAAACAAATTTTCCAAAATTTATTGAAATCGCTGAAGATTATCTCCCATATATATTTTTGAGCGATTTTGTTTATTTGTTGGGTTGTGTGCCGGGATTTGATCAGAAAATAAATTTGTTAAAATATATTGAAATCGGTCCAGATTTGGATGTAGCTCCCATATATATTTTCGGCCGATCTCATATATTTGATGCACCAAACACCATACATATGTCCGATTTCAATGAAATTGAGAGACGAAATTTGGCACCAAAAAAATTGTCAAATTGTATTGAAATCGGTTGAGGATTGGGTATAGCTCCATATATATATTTCGACCGATCTCATGTATGTTATACACCAAACACGATATGTATGTCCGATTCCAATGAAATTCAGATTGTGTAGTGGAATTCGGTTACAATAATAAATTTGATAAAATAATTAGAAATCGGTCAAGATTTGGATATAGCTCCCATATATATTCTCGGCCGATTTCACACATTTAACGCACTAAACACGGTATGTACCTCCAATTGTAATAAAATATGGAAGGTGTAACGGAATTTGATGCAAAATTATTTTTTTTTTTTTTTTCAAATTATATTTAAATCGGTTCAGATTGGGATATGATTTTATTAAGAAGTATTGACCCACAAAGCCTTTGCAATGGTATTAGGCTAACAGTAAAAAATTACACAACAATTTAATTGATGATACGATTATAACGGGAAAGTATGTTGCTACCTCGAATTCACTAATTGCAACAGAAATGCCACTCAACTTTAAAAGATTGGAGTTTCCTATACGTTTGTCTTTTGCTATAAAATTAATAAATCCGAAGGACAAAGTCTTCGTGACATGTTCCTGCTTTCCTCATGGTCAACTGTGCCTGGCATGTTCACGCGTTGGTAGACCCAGCTATTTGTTTGTTAACGCATAAAAGTATTACAATAATTACTTTTAAAAATTTTTGAGTTTGTTTTATTTTTTTTTAACCAAAAAATATTCGTATATAAAATTTTCAATGCATATAAAATCAAAAGGGGTAGCGAAGCTCACCGGGTTCAATACATTAACACATATACATATATTTTTTTATTTCGATAATGTATAAATAAGGATTGAGATATAAATGGTCTTGAAAAAACAAATGTAACCAATGAGTAAACCAATAGAAATTATGATATTAAACAAGTAAAAAACAATATGTTCGGCAGGGGCGAACTTTGAATACCCTACACCATTTGGAACGAATTTGGAAATCCTCAAAAAAATAAAATACGTTAAAAATTTTGTTAAAATCTTAAAAATACCGAATATAGGCGTTATATTGGGGACTTTACGAAGACAAGGACCTTCATAGGAAGTTACCACCATACATAGTATTGAAGGTATATTAAGTTCGTCATTCTGTTTGTAACTCATCATCATGCCCTGAAAGAAAATGGTATATATAGGTCTACGATATCGTATATACCCCACATAACGGTTCCTCCCGATATTCGGTATTTTGATAACTGCAGGTAAATTTTTCAATGAAATTGCCTGAAAATCATCAACTCTTTCTGAGAACATTACTTCTGAATACTTTACCCCCTGGAAGAGAATTGTCTACAAAGGTCCACGTCTTAACATAGCGTCCATATAACGACTACCCAGATATTCGTTATTTTGATGAATTTAGCGACATAATTCACCGTAATAGTTGCAAAGGAATATATGCTATACAGGTTCTTATCTGCTGTTTACTTTTTTATTCTCCATTCGTCAACTAAATCAGCAATAATGTGAAGGTCAGAGATGCGTCTTTCATGTATTTGTGATTTCCGTAATTTTGATTATTTTTTCACGCAAAATTATGGTACATTCACCAGCTGAATATTATCCGATAAACATCCAATAGGCTTGGCTTGGACGTTTTCCTGAAGTCTAACCTCATATAAAATGACATGTCTAATGGTCCTTAGTTGAAAACTGTAGAATTGTAAAATCTTAAAACTTTTTAAGTTGTTTGGTTCATCTGAAACCCTAAACATTTTGTGAGGATCTTCCAAAACAATAGGCTTCAATTCTGACCCTTCCCCCATGCAATAAGGATCGGATGATAATTGCGAACACACAGTTTTGTAAGATTAAAAACTATTACAAAATGTACAATAATGTAATTCAAATAGAACAAGTAAAAAAGCTGTAAGTTTGGCCAGGCCGATCTTTGAATACCCTTCATCATTTGGAACAATTTTGGCAATTTTCAAAAAAAAAAAAAAAAAAAAAAAAAAAAACAAAAATCTGTTAAAATCTTAAAAATACCGAATGTAGCCGTTATATTAGAGTCAATACAACAACGTAGATCTGCATAGGCAACCATTGTCATAAACAATTGCAATATTAAAATGCGAAACTTTAATAAAAAAAAACGGTGAATAATGTAGCTAAAATCATCAATATTCCGAATATACGGAGGTACCATTATATTGGGGCTATACGAAGACGTGAACATGCACAGATAATTGTTTGTCATAGGCTGTAGTATCCATGTTGGTACCGTTATATGGGGGCTATAAGACGTGGAACTGCACAGACAATTTTCTGTTATAGGCTGTAGTACCCATTACGAACTTCAAATACCAAATTTGAAACAATTCCGGGGAATAATGTCGCTAAA